AATCTCCAGTTACATACACACACACACCTCTTTTAAACTTTCTTCATCTCTAATGCTAGGTGTTATCAAAAACACGTTTCTCATGACAATCTTCTTAGGTTTTAATAAGTATAAAAGGTTATTAAATATTTTATATATGTAGCTCTAATCTATTTTAAATTGAAAAAAGTAAGACATGAATGTTTTTCATGCGAGGTATTCACTAGCTGTTAAAATGAAACACTGCATCTTCAGTGTTTTTTTTAATTCAAAGATGAAAAATTTTAAGAAATTCATACATGAAGGGTCACTCTACAACTAGTTTTAATGGTCTGGGAGAAGTTAAGATGCTAAAAGTCTTTTGTCACAGAGACCAAGCTAATACAATTTTTTTCATTAGTATTTTATAGCTTTGAAAGTTATAAATGGGTTCCTTATTTCTTAAGTATAAGCATGTGTAGTCTTAAGTTATAGATATTATGTATTCTTAACATATATTTTCAGTTTCTTTTGTTAGTAAATTTCATATTCACAGAATAAATCCACTATTTCATTGTAACTATAAAGCACCTATCCAGAGTTTTAAAAATGTTCTTTTTTGTGTAACACCAGCATAAACCAAATATTGACTGAAGTATTGAATAGAGCTGGGTGAATAGTGGAATTTCCTAATTGATTAATCACTGGATTCATTAATTGATTACATTCAACTACTAGACTATTCTCACTAGATGACTAAAACAAAACAAACTTATAGTGCTAAAAATCAAGTTTCAATATATGTGGTGGGCACAGTACACATACCCCATTATGTAGCTTTTTGATTAACAAACAATATTTTGATTACTTGAAGAGTCTGAATAATTGAAAATAGTAATCGGAAACCTACTGCAATTAGATGATTATTACTATGAGCAAGTTGAACACACCTGAATTAATGAAAAACCATGATGGCAATATTTTGAACTGATTATTGGATAGTTGGAATAATCAAAACAGTAATAAACAGAAACAATAATTTTCATCAGTTGATTATTTTTGTGACATTAACCTATTTAAACATAATTTTGATAACTGAATGGTTGGAATGATTAAAAATAGTAATAACTGGAAACACTAGTTGATTACCTTTGCGACATTAATCAACTTGATCACAATTTCGATTAATAAATTATTTTTTATGACACTAATGGATGTAATCAATGCTCAAAGGTACTGAATACATTAAAAATGACCCAAATAGGTTAAAAAATTTAAAAGAAACAACTTTTCCTTCATCTATCTAAGGAACTGGTCACTTACCATTGTTACCAATTCTTATTGTGTAACTTATCAAAAACTGGACTTCACCCTTTTATCTTCCTACTGAAGAAAAACTAGCTTCATTGGTATCTTTTAACACTTTTAATCACAAGAGGTAGCAACTAGTTCATTGTGTTAGAAATATGATGAAAGAAGCTTCGCTTGTATAAAAAATAAAAAAGGAGAGAGAGAGTTTATGCTCTCGTTGTTTTATTAGTATTATGCTACACAATGGGCTATCTGTGTTTTTACTATAGGAAACTGAACTTTGGATTTTAATTTTAAGCCCATAAATTTACCACTCACTCACCAGGGAGTAAGAGTTTATGAACACTGTTCACAAAATTTTGTAATGTTGGACAAATTCCATTGTATCTAATGAATAGTGAAGAGTAATATATATTACTGTACAACTTATTTGAACTATATATATTTGTATTAACAAATGGAAAAATTTATAATTCTGAAAATGAAAGTGTCTTATTAAAAACATTTTATGTTAAAAATTTGATTAATGTTACATATACCTAAGTTCAATTAATGTACTTTGTAGAGAAAACTTTTTTCATGGTGAGTTATTGTGAATGTTATTGCAACGTGAGGAAAATATTGTAAAATATATTGTCAATATTCCTAAATGTATAAGCTTAACTTATGTGGAAAGCTTTATAACAGAGTTCATTACTCAGTTTTGTTATTAATGAAAAATTCAAATTCAATTAATTACATATTAAAACTTGTTGATTGAAGGTATAATTCATAGGTGTTCTTTGTAGTTGACTGCCAAAAACCATATTAGCCATACTGTACAAGTATTATGGAGTACAAAATAAATAACTTGTAACTATACCTAGTCATTTAAAAATCCATACCGTTTTCTAACAAGCAATATAAATGTTTCACTATAATGATTTATTAATCCAGGCTTACTATACATATTTGGTCAACACAAGCTTTTAGAATAAATAAAGCTTTATAGGAAAACTTTTAAGATTCCTCTTGGTCAGTTTTGTTTCCACCAATTTAAAAGATGAAAAAAAGTGAACATTTTCTAAAAAAATGATTTTTTTTCTGGGAAGTACTGCACAGATAAAGTGTTCAGATTGTGCTCTTTAGTCATACGCAATTCATTGCATCAAAATGATTCAATTTACAGATCTCAAAATTTTCATAAATTTTATTGATATAAACTAATTATTTATATATTAAAAGTGGTACCATTTGTTGAAAAAATAAGATTTTTTAAGCACACCAGGTTCTCAGTACTACATTTTAAAATTACATCAATAAATATATTATAAAACTCTCAGGTACAGTCCTTGTGAAAGTCATGTTCTTGTTGTGATGAGAGTACATTTATTATAAAGAAATGGTTGTTGCACATACCACAGTTATTTTTCTAATTGTCTAAATCTTGAATACCCAAAGTGTGAAATTTATTATGGACATTTGTTTGTGATGCCATTCAGTAAATGGTGTAGGAGTTTTGGTTACATACACAGACATTGACATACATGCTACATCCACTATAGTAATATGTAATCATTACATACAAAGAAATGCTTGAAATTAATTAATGCATAACACACCACTAAATCAAAAAGACTGCAGATCTATTGTAACATTATCCATAACTTTATTTATTTACTTACAAATGTAATGTCAATTGAACTGTTTTTTTGGCAGAATCTTTTTATAGTCTCTGATTAGTTTCAAAAAGCCCTATATATTTTAACTTGTGACTCAAGTCAGACACCCAGAACAGGAAGAAATCACTTCTCCCTCCAAGTGGCAATATGGAGAAGTATTTGAAAATAGACTTCCCATTTTTGTATCAAATGCATATGCAATGTGAAAACACCATTTAATAAAGGAAATGTTGTTCATTTAGGGATTAATTATTTCCATTATGTGTGTGTGTGTGTATAAATACACATGCAATCTGAACTGTTAAATTGTGATGACCAAATTTGTTTAATTTAAAATTTTTTCTTCAGAACCTAAGAAAACCATTTTATTCTATTTTTTCACAATTTGAATCCACACAATAATCTGTCTTCATTCACAGTAATATAAAACCATTTTCTCAATTTACTGCATTTTCTTTTTTAAGTTTACATTAGTTTTAACAGAATTTTCATGCTTATGTATGCATTGCTTTTGCCTGCATCTTTAAAAATTTAGCAGTGCCAAAATCTCTTAGTATCTTGCACATACCAATTGAAATCATTCTGATTAAAAATTTTGTAATATTTCTTAAACTTTTCTGTCTCTTATTTTTTCATCAGTCTTTCATTTCTGGCCAGAAGTTGACTCAGATTTTTCCAAAGGTTTTACACATAAACAATTTGTTAGAGACATTCTGAGCAAGTGAAAAATACATTATCGCCAGTAACATATGTTTGACTGCATACTTAAAATGCTATTATATCTCTATATCAATGATTAAAAACAATCTCAAATGATACTGCTTTATGGTAAATATCTTGCATAGTTAAAAATTATCTCCCATGATAAACAATCCAATCAAAAATACAGCATTCCATATACCAAAAAAGATACAAGATCTTTCCCAATTATTGACATCCTTCAATAACCCTCTAATAGTGATAATAATTAAGCCAATTATGTCTATTAATACAATATATATATATCTTTTTTTTTCTTTGTTCTTACACAGACTTTCAACAACAACCAATGCATATAATTAATACTGACATACTTTGGTGGGGAGAATGGATTGAGTTGACTGACTCACTTATGCCTGCACTATGCATTCCATGATAAACAAATATGGATAAGCATATAGAATCTCAGTGGTTTGATTGGTTTGGAAACAAAGTATGTAATGACACTACCTTAGACATAACGAGTGACTGACTATGCTGAAAAAAAAAGAAGAAAAAGGCAACTCGAATTTCACCATGGGGGAAAATAAAAAGTGAAGTCAAAGTTTAAAGGCACTTTGCCCGGACGCGTGACTCCTGTTAACTATACTTATAATGTTAGTGAATAGTGTAAAAATTAATAATGTCAACTATTTGTTCTTTATCATTCATAAAAGTGTAGTAGAATATCAAACATCATTTATCTTAGAGAGAGGAAAAAGCAACAATTAGTTATTTTAGATTTTCAAGAATTTAATATGTAGCTTAGCAATTGATTAAAAAAATATACCCAATATCAAGTTTACATCAACTAGGCAATAAAAAAGGGCTGCAAACTTGTGATAAAATAAATAAAATACAACATAAAAAGCTAATCATCTGAACAAATCAGTTTGAAAATATAGGTACTCGCTTTAGATGTGTAACTGTTTATCCAAGAAAACTACATAACAAAAAGTTTTAAGATCCAGAATAAAATACTAATTTCAAACTTTAATTAAACTGAATTTAATTCATTTTATGAAAAATTTCTTACACAACCTCAGATGTTTTAAGAAATCTAGTCTTCAGTTGTATACTGATGACAATTTTGAAATCTTAACTATACAAAATGTAGAAAAAAATTATTCCTAAAACCATTTTACTAGTACTAAAAGTTACAAAAGAAACTTTGATAAACATAGGAGAAACAATATGTAAAGGTTTTAGATACATCATCAACAATGTTAAAGTGAATATACAAGTAAAAATATAAAAAAAACTTCAATAAAATCAACTTTTGACATCTATCTCTGTCATATATTAAAAGAAAAATCTACTCATAAAAAATACCTTTCATCATCATCTCCTTCCATACCATTTTCCACTTCAATATCTGGAACAAGATAATACTGAAGTGGGTTGGGCCACATGTCATCCTTGATGACCTAGTGTTTATTAAGAAAAAAAAAGTGACTTTTTAAAATACACCCATGTTTTATTGACTCTTTTTACCAACTATACATAATAATCAATTACTTTTTGTGGTATTACAAATATAACATTATATAATTACAACAAATCAGATAATTATTGTTTGTTTGTTTTTGATGTTCGCGCAAAGCTACACGAGGGCTATCTGCGCTAGCCGTCCCTAATTTAGCAACGTAAGACTAGAGGGAAGGTAGCTAGTCATCACCACCCACCGCCAACTCTTGGTCTACTCTTTTACCAACGAATAGTGGGATTGACCGTCACATTATAATGCCCCCATGGCTGAAAGGGCGAGCATGTTTGGAGGGACGGGGATTCGAACCCACGACCCTCAGATTGCGAGTTGAGCGTCTTATCCACCTGGCCATGCCGGGACCAGATAATTATACTTGACCGGTATACTTGTTTTCTAACACTAGATGATGCCACTTTGAGAAGCTAGCTGAAGTTTGTTTTAATCTTGTGGTTCTCAACCTTTTTAAACTGAGAACCAGCTACTTCTGATCCCAAAATTTCACAGAGCTCTTTGTACAATATTAATTTTTTAAAGTACTTTTACATTAAATTGTAGAACAACATACTTCAGTAGTTATATTTTGCATACAGGCAGATAGGGACGACTGTTTTAAATCAACTATTTTATTAGAACAAGTTGTAAAAAAAATCCTTCATGGCAAGAAAAAGGATAATTGTGTCTTTTTTTAATGTAGTAGTTACCTATGTCAGTAAATAATCATAGATCATTTCCCATGCTTTCTACAACACCAAAGCATCTAGTCAACAGAGCAGCTCAATAATCCCACCTATATAAAGTAAAACTCTTAATTTAAAGAGGAAAAATTCAATCAACAGAGGATAAAAAGGTGAACTTCAGTAGCATCTTGAAGGGACTTCCAAGAAACCGTGGGTCTACAGTGCTGCATATAAAGATAATTATTCAGGCAGGAAAATAAGTATTTTGAATAGCAACAGTGACAAAAGTCAACCAGGAAGTATGTCACATTGCTATAAAATGATGTACAAGGCTAATGGCAGCCAAAAAAACTATTGAGGAAGAACAAAAGTCATCAAGCAAAAGGCATAAAATTGGAAACCAAGTCTGAGCTGTCTACCAGCAAACAAGTATTAATGCTGTGCAAAGGGCAATGAAAATAAAACAGAAACATAAGCATATCGCAAAGATGTAGGTAGGAAAAGTCAAAGAGATTGAAAAAAAAATTAATTCAGGCTTTTGAAAACCAAATTAGTGGTAGCTGATGGTTATAAAATGTGGCTAAGCATCTATATGTCACCTACACCTCTGTAAGGCTACTGCATGATCTGTATATAAAAGGGTCATTTTGGTGAAAGGATCTGTTGTGTATATTCACAATTAAATATTAGCCTTCAGGAATATGACAACTCCAAACTACAATCAAAAGAGCTTGAGCCTACTAACAATGATTACAGATGGAAAGCAAAATTCAGAGATCTGGTTCACCACTGACAAAATTATGAAAAATGTAACAGTGAAATCATGTCAATGAATTACAACAACGTAACCTAATGACCAATGAAAGACAAGCTTCGATTCAATCAACATTTTCAGGACATTGAAATAAGTCAAGAGTTTTCAATAAGACACCTGTTCTGCCATCAAAACACAAAGTATAAGCCACAATGAAAAAGTCCTTATTAGCCACATGAATTGAGGATGTCGATCACCAGTCTATCAAAAATAGGAAAGAAGAGAATCTTAACAAGAAAACACCACATAATATTTATTTTTTTTGGCTTAGTACTGCTTGTCCTCAGGCTAAAGGGATTTTTCTTGAATTTTGTGCAAAGCTACACAAGGTTTAACTGTGCTAGCAGTCTAAATTTTCTGAAGTGACAGACTAGAAGGAAGACAGCTAGTTAACATCACCCATCACCAATTTGTAGGACACTCCAGTAAAACAGTGGAATTTCACCATCATTCTTATAATGCACCCATGACCCAAAATGCACAACATTATTATTTTTTCAACAGTAAAGGAGTGCAAACAATGGAACCTAAGATTTAAAGTCCAGCATGCTAACCACTGGGCCATCCTTAGCCCCAAGCATAATGCAGTAGCTTATAAATATGAAGCATTAACCTATTATAAGGAAACTGTTAAGATAATTTTTTTAAACATTATTAGTAACAACCCAAAACTACACTGCAAAAATAAGCTTGTTGTGTAGTCTTGATATTATTAGAGCTTCTAATAAATAACTGTAAAAGAGTCAGGAACAGCTGACCTTTTTTTTTCCTTGCAATTAATGCCAGGTTATGCTATGGAGGAAATAATGCAAAATGCAGAATTGAGTTGACCTCTCATTAATAATTTTTATAGTTTATTTATCCCTCTACTGGAAATTGTCAACTGATTGTCATCCGTTCTGTTCTTTTTAACTGCTAATACCTGCTTGATTTAAAATTATTTTTAGTCTTTCAAATTAATGTACAACACTACAACATATAGATACAGGGCTGTGGAAATATATTTATAATACAGAGTATAATAGACTTTCTATGAATAACATACAAGATGTCTAGTAATGGAGAAACTTTTCATTACTAACAAGTTTTCAGACATTGCTTGTATAATACACATTTTCATACATTTATATCAAATAAATTCCTAAGCCTAATTTCTAATTAAAGTTACATAGAATAAAATGTATTCAAAATTTATAAAATCAGATAATATAATTTTAATTTTTGGACACTTATTCTTATTGACAGAAAGACTGCTTTTTCATTTTGTAACTTCATGGATTAATCTGTCTTGAAGCTAAATTTTGACTCAAATTTCAAATTTATCTTACATGGATATGATGGATAGAAACCATCTTATTGCAACTTTAACCATCTGGTCTACAAAGATTTGTTTGTTTTGAATTTTGTGCAAAGCTACACGAGGGCTATCTGCACTAGCCGTCCCTAATTTAACAGTTTAAGACTAGAGGGAAGGCAGCTAGTCATCACCACCCATCGCCAACTCTTGGTCTACTCTTTTACCAACAAATAGTTGGATTGACCATCACATTATAACGCCCCATGGCTGAAAGGGCGAGCATGTTTGGTGTGATGGAGATTCGAACCAGCAATTCTCAGATTGCGAGTTGAGCACCCTAACCACCTAGCCATGCCGAGCAGTCTACAAAGACCATGCATTTTCAAATCAAAAGCATGCTGCAGTGCAAGATTTTTTGGAAACAAGTATGCAAAATTTAATGACAATGTGAGATTTGCCCAAGAATATTCACTGGACTACCACAAGCTGCCATGCCATCTGCTTAAATAACCATATCTTTAGTTAAATCCTTATCAGTAGTTAATCATAGACTTCACTTATCAGACTGAAGGATAATAACCTTAGATTTTTGTATTCCATTAATGTCACTATGTTTTAAGAAATGGACAGAATAATGGAAAAAAAGGGGAATTAAATTTAAAAAAAATATGAAGGAAGGTAAATACTAATACACACACACACACTACATGTTTGTGCGTGTGTGTTAGTTCTAAAATCTGTATCTGATTTTCTATTTTATTAAAGACTGTATTTAGAATAGGTCTCAAATTATTTATTTATTTAAGCAATTACGTGAAAAGTGGTGATGAATGGATAGACATGAAACTTTTAAAACATCTTTTTGAAGTAACAATAACAAAAGTTATTGCGTAGTATACTATTTCTAATTAAGATCTAAAAACTTAATATAATTACAAATAAATATCTAAATCCACTATAATCAGTTCACTTTTTTTAAACTGACCTCCTGACCTCTTGTTAGTTAACCTGAGAAAAGAAAAACAAGAATCATCATACTGTACGAGTGTGTCATAGTTACATTAAATTACAATAATACAGGGTGTTCCAGAAGTCTGGACCCATAGGGAAAATAGACTAATTTTAAACTATAATCTAACAATGGTTATTTTGAAATTGGAGCCCAGTTGTCATCATAGAATACAGGGAACTGACTGTACTATTGTTGGCTGTTTGAACAACTATAACACTTACAATTGTTTCTTACCTAAATATGTTACAGTTAGACATACAGTTGAAATTGTATTTAGGTCTTACTATTATCTTTTAGTTAATTGTGTATTGGGTATGTTTTAAAATGTGTAATTAAAAGGTTTAAACACTTTTTAAATATACATCATACTTTCTATATGATTTCAAGGCTTGCGGTACTATGCGCTGAACGAAAATTTTGCCAAAGTGTTGCGAATGTCTCACAAAGGCATTGTAATATGCCTCGAGAGCACCACTGACTTGTGTTGAGATGAATAATAAGTGGTAATGGACAATAACATTAAAAATTAACTATATGTGAAAAGTTAAAGACCTGCAATTACAAGTTTAACAAAAGGAAAATCTTTAAAGATATTATACAAAAAATTTAAAGATATGTACATTTTTCTATTTCCTAGCTTTAATCATTTCATTGCATTGTACGTTGATGATAATAGCTAGTCAATGAAATCGTATAGAAAATGATAAAAATATATACACACACACACACATTTACCTTAAAAAACTTTTGATATTCATTCTTGAAGTTCTATAGGTTTTGCACATGAAATATGAAAACTATAAGATAAAGAAAAGTATTTTCATACTTAAAATGAAAATCACCTTGCACTTGAACCATTCAAAGTTAGAGTGCAAATAACTACTATAGATTTTTATTAGGAAGACGAAATTAATATAATGTCATTCTTTGTGTACAAGATACTAATAAACGTTAACAAATTCTTAGGAGATTTTGTGAGAAACACACAGAGTTGCTGTATTTTTGTTGCATAAATGTCCTTCTCTAGTCGAGCAGATGGTTATCACATCCACCTGTGCTGAAAAGATTAAAGGGAAACTGAAAAATATTTTTAAAATACTTGCTTATAGGTATTGAAGTATCTTATAGTTGTACATAGTTAATCTGAAATGGTTAGCATTAACGTTTTTTTTAACGAACATTTTCACTAACAAAAGGTCACTGAATAAAAATCTTTTTAAGCACATCACTAAATACTTGACCACAAACAATGGGAAACAGTTTTAAGTATCTCACCTGTAAACGAAAAATAATTTAAATTTTTTATGGTAATCATTAACAAATATCTCATAATTCTAAACCTACAATATTTCTTGTCACTTTTTATTTTTATCCAAACTTTGTTATAAATTGATAGATTTGAATTTTCTTTGTCCTTTAAAAAGATGGATGGTTAGCAGGTAGTAACTGTAGATCTATTTTCTAGGAAGGTAAACAAAATGTTATACTTTTTTGAGGCTTTGTTTACACTTCACCATTTTGCCTTATCAATCTTTTGTTCAAGTAACTAAGTTTTGAATTGATGCCCTTCTTATGACACAAATTTCTGTTGCACAACACTTTTGTGCAATTTATGGAAATTTCTTTTCTCATGTTACATATTTGTATGATCTATAATAATAATATGCTTGCATTTGTCTGTCCAGAACTTTTCTCACAAATTTCTCGACCAAATGCTATAACTCTCATATCATTAGAAAGGCTTTTCTGAGGAATCCAGATTGTATACTGGCTTTTTCATTCAGAATCACCTTACCTGTTTTTGGTTATGTAAAACTTCTTAATGCAACAAGTATGGTACACAATGGCACGATGTTGTCGACTAGCTTTGATTTCAACTTTAGTTTTTAATTTGCAAAGCATTTCACACAAACAACACTTAACCTGCATGTAATCTTATCACTTTGTGAACACGCATTCAGATGTTTCTGCATATCAGCTACGTTTGCCCTCACTACAACTTTAAATTTACTTTACTTTACAATAATTTAGCTTCAGTTCATTTCATAGACTGCTATAAACACCTTTTAGCTACTTTTGAGTTTTGTTTCAACTCATAAAACCATGTCATACACTGAACATTCATAACTGTTTCATACTCTGTACGCTATTATAAATACCATTACTATACTTTATTGTTTACTTTACATGTAGTTTTATGAAATAAAGTTACGTCTATATATGTTTGTTTGTCTGACTGCATAAAATATTTTCAAATAGACCAAGATTTATCAGTCTAAAACATAATGCCTGCAAGAAAGCATAGCTTAAATGTCATGAATGAAAATGACAGAATAAGGAAAATTCAAGCGAAAAGCATGTAAACTACCACAGTTGTTTTGTGGGTCGCAGCTAGTATTTAATAATGCAATATGTTTTTCTACAGGCCTTTTTGTTTGAATACTCACCTCAGCTATATCATCAGCTGATGCATCACCATGGTCACTGAACCAAGAAAAGAAAGTTCTTGGCAGTTCAAGTCCTCTTTTACGATTATTTTTCATCTGTGCTTGTCGTTCCTTTTGTTTTTTGTTTAAATCCATTCCTTCTTTCCATTTGATTGTTGTTGACTGTGATGCAGGATCCCCTAATAAGAGTTATAACCTTAGATCACATCTTTGCATCTTCCATATTGTTGAAAAATTGCTTCTGTATGATAAGCCACAAGACACAGCATTACTCATTATAAAATAGGTTTAATGATTGTAACTGCTAACATGATGTTACAATTCAACAGCTAATTTAGTTAAGACTTGTTCATCTAATATAATTAAAAAATCCTTTTTGCATTCTCCAAAATCATATGCCTTATTTAATTTAAAAGACCTCAGGCTGTTAATTTGAAGACATCTTTCTATTTCTATTAGTGCTGTACAAATTTTTTTAGGTACTCTAGTAAAATAAGTGTATAATTTTTATGTAACCATTTTTATTACCTGAATGTTTATTCAAATATACTTATAGCTAGTTATGGTAAAACTCAAATCAATACAATATCAGAATGTACCTCAATCTGCTAGTCAGCATCTATTTATACACTTGTCCAGTTTAAGACACCTCTTGCTTTGCTTACTATCCTAGTAATTTCTTAAATAACTTAAAAACAAGCAAATAAAATAAGGATTTCTTGAATAATCTGAGAAAAGGTGAAAGTACTGAAAGTGAGCATTTTCATTTTTATGTTGCAATTGATACCATGCTAAACTGAAAACTAATTAATTCACCTATGTAGCTACATTTCATTTTTCTGTTTGTGAATGACAGAACTTGACATCCACAATCACACAACTTTTCATATATGTGAATAAAACTAACCACATGGAACACCACTGTGGCATTTGCTGGATATGTAAGACACTGTAAAATATTATGCACAGCCTCCACTCTCTATAAATTTTTCACAGTTGAAAAGATGTCTGCTTGAAGGGGTAAATAATTTGACTCAACAAACAATATCTCTTTAAAATAAAGAAAGCCTTAAACATACTAGCACTAGCAAAAACTGCAAACAGTTTCATCTTTGCCTTGTACTTATTAATGAAATAAAACTATGTACAATTCTCAGTGTAAAAAATTAAAGTACCTGATGATCCCAAATGGAATTCTTTCACAATCACATCATTTTCAAAATAAGGATTGTCATCAAAAAAAAACTTGATTCTGTAACCAGACTTGATATCTTCAAATTCCTCCACTTCCAATTTGTTCAGATAATGTAAACATTCTTCTTCTTCTTCATCCAAAACTGCAGAAATTTGTGGGTGGTTAACAAACTGAAGCTGAATCAAGGAAAAATTTGTGATATCTGATTAACTACATGATATAAGCAACTGTAAAACTATTAGATTTACATATTTATGTAATGTAGAAAAAGAAATAGGCAATACTGCATTTCAATCAGCATTACAAAGTAATTCCTTTCATAGTGTACAGAAAAAGTTTGTAGTAGGATTCTAACAGTTGATCATTTCTGCACACTGACTGTTAATGTGTTATAGTAATGAAAAGACAATATCAAAGCTACCATATGTACTTTAAATGTAGAGTTAATTTTATAATTTCTGCATACGTTTAATACAATGGTGTATAAAAATGCAGTACACATTTTTCTTCTTTCATAACTGCCCTTAACTGAATATTTTAGTCACAAGAAAAATAGGTTGATTTTTGTAATTCTTCCAAATGTCACTTATTTTTAAAATGATTGGGATCATTTTTATCCACATATAATGACCCAAAATCAGAAGTCTTCCACCACTTGGATAATTGTTTTTTTTAAACTACCAATACAATATTCCCTGCACTCAGAAGTACTTAAAGCCAAAATAATTATTTTTATTATTAGTTTTTAGTTAAAACATGTTTTATAATTTTTTAAGTAACTCTTCTCAGATGTCTGATAATTAATATCATAGAATTAATTAAAAAGCTCTAAAAGCAACCTAATAAATATTTTAAACTTATAATTATCAAAAAAAAGACAACTTAATCACTTTCCTCCAATTTCCCTTTTACCTTACATTTAACACTCACACTTTAAATCCAACTGGTTAAACCTCATCCTTTAAAATATTCCTCTATTTTTCATGTGAAGAGCTCATAAAATCTTAAAAATAATCAATGTTCATTGTCACTGGGCATTTCTTTGTGGGTTACCCCCCTCACATAACATGTTTGTGTGAATTCTAATAATCTCAAATGTGTGTAACAATACAATACCATTATGAAGAACCCGACATCACATCTTCAATACATAATAAGAAAGTAACACTATATGAAAGTAGCAATGTAATTCCATCTCTGGTTTATGTATATACTTTGAGTGTTATTTGTCCCTTCACACATAATTTGTTCCTTTTTGCTTAGATTTCTACACCATTTACAATAAAGTGATTTTTGTTGTACCATGCTTATTTTATACTTCAAGCCGCTTGTATACTTTTTTGTCTATTTCATTAGTTGGTGGAGAGTAAAATTTTCCTCTTCTCAGATACTTCCAAGAGTGTACCTCTCAAAATTCAACTATTCTCAATATATATTACAAAAATTTGCTAAACTTTAGTTTGCACTATAAAAACAAGTTTTCATTCTTGTTAATGCAGGTGTAATTAATCCAATTACCTAATAGTCATATCATAATTACATTATAGCACCAACACTTCTCATGCTGTTTACAGACATTGTAAAATATAATCAAATCATCTTAACTTCCACTTCCCTAACTTCCCATGAAAAACTGAATATTCAACCGCATAATAAACATTCCTCAGGCACATAGTTTAAATTGTTTTCAATGTACACTGTAAGTGATAAATGAACTACTCATCCATTTTTATGCTTCACCATAAGAACAAACTATGCAAAATAGGAAAACATATATTCAATTACTAGAATAATGACACAATGAATTAATTATCTTCATTATATTTTGGAAGTAGTACCTAGTTTTTAAATATATTAACTGACAGTAATGTCAAATGTGACAAACAGTGTTGGAAAACACTTGTTCCAATAATACACAGTAAATTAAAGTCCTTTAGATGTGCCCTATGGGTCAAAATTAGGGGTGTGAACAAGCATCTCAAAAATGAAACACACAAAGCCTGGACTGGACAGTTTCTTATTGGATGGAGAATAATCAATGGACAGAAAAATGTCACAATTTGGCAAATTTACTGCCAATGGCTTCTATCTAAGTAAAAATTATGTGCATTTGTAAAAAATATTATTTCCTTTTATGTTAAAATTTGATAGAATGCTCTATACATTATTGCTCTATCTTTACCACAAATATTTAGAGAATATTTTATGTATTTTTAAATTACGTGACTTTGCATCTCTTACTGTGTGTATCTATACATATATATTCAACATTGTCCTTAGTCTTTTCCTTTATCAACAAGCCTATCAAGAAATAGCTGTATCTCTTTGTTAGATTTACTAATAAGTGCTCTATCACCATCATACCTCTTACTTTAGATTCTATGTCCACTAATCAATGTCATATTACAAAACTTTTATTAAATTTTATATTAATGTATTTTTAAGTGACTAATATAATTATTTTCTGGGATACACATAATAGTAACAATATAGGAAAACTTTTTGAATCATGGCTCAACTTCCATGAACAAGATAAATAATATTGCATATTGCATAGAGGAGCTACAGTATTCATTTTCAAACACAGTGAAATTACCACCAGTAAATGTAAAGATCAAACAAAAACTGTAAACTTAATGACAACATAATGCAAGTATACAAATCAGAAAGTAATAAAAGAAGAATGAATTGCCCTATGAAACTTAAAGTAGACTATACAACTAGCATTACACCATCTGACAAAGTTCAAGGGTTTGTAGTAATTAACACTTGAGATTACATAGGGAAGTCAAAAACTACACTTAAGATAGCACTGAACTTTAACGAGCACCCCCAGTATTTCAAAATCACATTTTTCAAATTTTGCCTAAATCTAAAGTTTAACCTCCTTTATACATAATTAACTTGTTTTTGTCTTAACAGTTATTTTCACTGGGGTAACCAATTTATTAGCATAACTTCATCATTAACTTCGATATCAGCATGAAATTTAGCAAACATGTTGATATTACACTCTTCCATAGCTTGAATTTTTTTAAATTCAAAAATCTTTACCACTTGTCTTGTTATGAGTCTAATTACTACTAATGAGGGCATTAACATTAATTGTCCACAGCTCATTAATGTTGCAAAGTTTTATTAATTCAAGCCATGAGGATGTTCACAAAGAGCATGTGTATCAATTTTCATGTTTTATCATTCCTAAGTAAAGTTATGGTGTTAAAACAGTTTGTTATGTACTGCTTTACCCCTGCCACTTCAATTATGCACATGATGTATAGGACTGCAAGTGTACTTTCAGAGATTGCAACATTATACTTTTGTTTTGTGCTCAACTTGAAGGTTATAAGTGTTTAACAGTTTCTTCAGCATGTAAATTTGCCTAGTTTTAAGAGTCAGTGCTACCTCAATGATACAAATAAAAAAAAAACACACCCAAAACCCAGTTTTAGGCAAAATGTATAGAAACCTGTCTACAATTCAGCAAGCTGAAGAAACAATAAGAACAGATCCAATTCCTTTGTAGTATGGTTCACCTGAAATTCACAACCCACACCACTGCTTTCTATAGTATCAGCTTGGGATACCCCTTACCAAGAATGTCTTTGTTTTTTGGAAAGAAGTCTTAAACCATTCCTACCTTTCATTCAATCATATCTAAAAAATATTTCAAATTTCTTTGCTTGTTTACATGAAAAAGTTTGCATAAAAACTGTTACTGGAATCTGTTTATGCTCATGTGAGATAACGTTGCATTATACAAACATTTCATAGAAGGGATAGATGTTATGAAACAATTGAGAATGTACAAAAAAATATCATTGAAAGCAATAATAAAATCTCAGTTTTGTGCCACATGACGCACAAGCTATAAACAATGTCAAAAAATAGCTTGAAGCATATATATGCAAGTCTAGAAGAGAATATAGTTTACTTGCCCTTTGGCTAAATGCAGTTGAAACAAGAAATAAATCTTGCCGAGCTTTAGAACTTACATGTACTTTCAACATGTATGTATTTATAGTCATTAGAAAGAGCTCATTTACACTATAATCCAACAACAGTTATTTTGAAATTGGTATCAAGTTGTTGTCCTTTTTAACTGCTTGTACTATTGTTGGCTGCTTTGTTCAAGATAGCACTTCAGTCATTTCTTACCTAAATATGTTATAGTTAGAGAGAGAGTTAAATTATATTTGGGTTTTACTTTTATATCTTAATTAATTATGCACTACTTGTGTTTTAAAATTCATGCTTGAAAGGTTTAATAATTTTTATAAAATAACCAAAGCTTTCCTTCACTCTGCAATGCTTACTTTACCAAGCGTGTATAAAAAGATTTTGCCAGAAACTAAGGTATCTCTGCTATTCATACTGTTCTATTGCTCACAGGTACCCGTTGACATGTGTCAACATAAATAATCAATTGTAAAGAATAGGAGAGGAAAATAAAACATTAAAAATAAATTTTAAGTGAGAAGGTAAAGACATGAAATTACATATAAAGCCTAAAGAAGATATTTTAAGATTATTCAATGAAGAGTTAAAAATATACATATATTAACAGTTCTTAATTTTGAGCATTTCATTGCACTGTAAATTAATGATAAAAGCTAGAGTTAATGATATGGTAGAGAAAATGGAAAATAAAATTTAAAATTTACCTTAGAGAAACTTCTGATATTCATTTAGGAGGTTCTTGAGATTATGCAAGTGAAATGTGAAAACTGTAAGATAATAACTAGTATTTTTATATTCAAAATGAAAATCACCTTGAAGGTGAACTATTCAGAGTGAGTGCAAATAACTACATTAAATAATGGATTTTTATTAGAAATACTAGAAAAAACTAAAATTAAATATTTTATTTTTCTCAAACTACAAACTTTTATGATAGTTCTAGTCAAGTTTTAAACAAATTTTATACACTGGTTTTATTACTGGAATCTTTTTAAATTTTATTTCTGTACATTGACTTCCATAAAACATTTTGTAGCCTCTTATAAACATGTTGTTGTTGTTTGTTGTTTTATGGCGCAAAGCAATGAGGCTATCTGCGCCAAACAACCAGTAAAAACAGTGAAAGTAAATTAAAGTGTAAAAATCCAGTGAGTTAAAATCAATATATGTCGATAAAAGATTTATATACAATTAAAAAGACTTATAGTGCGTAAAAAATTCAAAATACAATCGAATTGGACAGTGTCACCATTACCAATGACACTGTCCAACGTCAGAGGCAAACTCTTAGAAAATGTGTGTTTAAAATAATGCTGCCGCTCACGATTGTAATGACGGCACGACAGTAAAATGTGGGCTATTGTGACTTGAGTGTCACGATGGCTACACATCGGTGGGTCAATACCTGATAAAATAAAACGATGGGTTAAAAACTGTGACCAATGCGTAGCCTTGCCAGGACTACTTCTTCCTTCCAATCCTTATGGAAGCAAAACGGCCAAAGACCAACAGTAGGCTTGATCTGGAAAAGCTTGTTATGACATTGCTCACCCCAAGTCAACTGCCAACTGGCGTGAAGCCATGCCTTAAAGACAGGACCGCAGTCCATGTATGGGACAGGCATGGCCGTGATGACATCAGAGCAGACGGATTTAGCTGCGGTGTCAGCAAGCTTGTTCCCATGAATACCGACGTGGCCAGGATCCAGAAAAACTGGATGGAAACAGAAGATAGATAAAAGTGAGCCAATCGGTGTTGAATATCGATGAGAACAGGGTGAGAACTAACATTAAGCGATTCCAGGGCCAGTAGAGAGCTAAGAGAATCAGTGTAAATAGTACAATTACTGTACTGCATAGCTTCTACATGAACCAGGGCAAGAGAAATAGAATACTACTCGGCAGTGGACACAGAAACTGTAGAGGGGATCGTGTGAACAACTACCGAGCCACATCACACCATGGCAGAACCTACCAAGTCACCCGATTTCGAACCATCCGTGTAAATAGGAAGAGAAGAATGGCTCGAAAGATGCTCAGCAAAAAGAAGATGGTACTTCCAATCGGGAGAATCTGCCTTCCTCAGATGACTCAGAGAAAGGTCACAGGAAGGGATGGTAATAAGCCAAGGTGGAATGGGCTGATAATTGGGGACAGCAATGTCATCCAATGCCAGACCCAATTCAGCCAGTTGCGCCTGGATATGAAGGCCAAAGGAGGGAATAGCAGACCGTCTGTTCCGAAAGAGCATGGCACATCGTGTGAGAAAGACACAATCCCAGGTGGGATGCCGTGGTAAGGATCGAAGCTTGGCAGCATATTGTAAAGAAAATTGGAAACGACGGAGGTGAAGAGGAGGTTCGTAGGACTCAGTGTACAAACTCTGGACTGGAGAAGTGCGAAAAGCCCCCAGTACAGAGCCAAAGCCCCAGATGGTGAATGGGGTCCAGCATCTTCAAGGCTGAGGTCCTGACAGAACCATAGACCAAAGAACCATAGTCCAGTTTGGATCGAATCAGTGCATGATAGATCGTGAGCGTAGAACATCGATCCGCACCCCAAGAGGTGGAAGAGAGGACACGGAGGATGTTCGAAGCTCTTGCACACTTGACATGTAGCTGCTTGATGTGTGGAATGAAGCTAAGCTTACGGTCAAAGATAAGCACCAAGAATTTTGCCTCAGGGAGCTCAGGTTCGAGGTGGAGACCCCGTTGGCAGCAAAAATGCATGCAAACGGTTTTGGAAAAAGAAAATTTAAAACCGTTTGCAGTGGTCCATATCAACAACCGATTGAGGGCAGTCTAAAGCTGCCGCTCAATAAACCTCATGTTCGACGACTGACACGAGATGTGGAAGTCATCAATATAAAGCCCATTTGCAACAGTCGGAGGAAGATTATTAGTGATAGCATTAATCTTAACATTAAAAAGTGTGACACTCAAGACACAGCCCTGTGGGACTCCAAGTTCCTGTGGAAAGGAACGGGAAAAAGTTGAACCCACACGGACTTGGAATCGCCTGTTCAGTAAAAAGTTTTGAATAAAAATGGGTAGATGGCCACACAACCCATAGGAGTGGAGGTCCTGCAAAACACCATACCTCCACGTGGTGTCATAAGCCCTCTCGAGATCAAAGAACACAAAAAAAAGGTGTTCTCTCTTGAGTAAGGCTTCCCTGATCGACGTTTCAAGTCAAATCAGATGGTCCATGTTGGAGCGCTGTCTACGGAACCCACACTGGGTGGGTGAGAAGAGCATGTTTGATTCGAGGAACCAAACAAGACGAGCATTAAACATCCTCTCTAGGACCTTACAAAGACAACTTGTCAAAGCAATGGGACGATAATTTGAAGGACTCTTGGGATCCTTCCAGGTTTAGAGAAAAGGAGGACAATAGCCTGGTGCCAAGATTCACGAAAAATGTACTCCTGCCAGATCCGGTTAAAAATAACCAGGAGAATAGCAAGAGAGGCAGGTGAGAGATGGCACAACATCTCATAATGAATATCATCAGGTCCGACCGATGAAGAGCAAGTTTGATTTCCACCAGTGTAAAGGGTCGATTATAATCATAGAGATTATCAGCTCGAAAAGAAAGAGGCTATCGCTCTGCCTGAGACTTGATGACCAAGAAGGCAGGGGAAGAAACAGAAGTGCTAGAAGCACTAGAAAAGCTGTGGCCGAGAGCATCAGCAATGCTCTGGACATCAGCAACTTCCTGGCCATTGGAGAGCAAGATGGAAAGGGGATGGGAGGCATACCTCCCAGAGACTTTCCGAATCTAGAAGAGATGCTAGTAGTGAATTTAATCCAAGATTCCTTTTGGCACTTACGTTGAACCTGCTGAGCATGGGCACGGGCCCCTGATAAACAATGCGGTTAGAAAGAGAGGGATACTGTCAGAAGGTATCCAAGGCCCGTTTTTGGTCCTTCCGTGCCTTCTGGCAGGCAGGACTCCAACATGGATAAGGATACTGTGGAAAACGTGTCGAGGTCTTAGGAATAAAACGAGCTGCTGCCTGGACAGTACAGTCAGTTACTGCAACTACACAGTTGTCTATTGAAGGCAGACAGACGAAGGCAGGATCAAGTTCAGGGAGAGAGGTTAAAGATGGCCAGTAGGGCTGAAATTAATATTATAAGTAGTGCTTCGAAGCTTCTTGCAAGAAAACTACCGAAACTTCAAAGCTTCTTACAATTGAGTATACTTGTTATATTATAACAATGTATGTATTTAATTTGTTACAGTTTGATTGTACATGAATTTGACCTTCAGGCATTTGACCTGTCAAAGTTTAATATGACTGGACAGCAGTTGTGTAGTCAGAGCAAGGAAGATTTCCTAGAGTTTGATTACAGGCCTTCTGGAATGTGGAAGCTTTTATTTAGTAGCATTACATAGTATTGTCAGTCACGAACCACCCAAGTTTCCATCAGCAGTACCCAGTAATAATAGTCAGTATAATGCAGTAGTTAAAATAGTTAGTACAGTACAATACAGTAGGTTTGAATAATGACAGTTTGCTTAAATTTTTGTTCAAAAAAATTAATGCGTCAACATTTTTTGGTTTTAAAGACTTCGTAATTTAGTGACTGTTAAGCCTGCTGTAGAAAAAACTCTTTCTGAAGATGTGGTTGTAGCTGGTATGCACAGTAATCGTCTAGCCACAAATGAAACAACATTGAAGCAACCAGCATTTAACTTCCACCATACAAGCGGATTATCTCGTCTAGGTGGAGGAGGTTCGGCCAGATACTTTTCCAATTCTGAACTGAGAGAAGGTTCTGCTACCACTGCCTCCTCACCTAGGAGTTTGTCCAACGCAGTCAATCTCTTTGGTCGTTTTACAACAGATGGAGAAGGCTCGTGTGAAGCAGGCTCATGTTCTTCATATTCTTTATACATCTCCAACAGCTCAATGATGACTTTCTTTAGGGCTTCTTGTTCAGTTTCTGTGTATCTACCCAAGGTAAGATTTTTAAATTGAGGGTCAATAATAGCTGTCAACAGCATTGGGTGTGCAGCATGCAAAGATTTGAGTTCAAATCTCTCAGAGATCTCTGATGACACAATATATTTGAATTGCTTGATTATGCCAGAATCCGACACGTCTGGCTCTAGCTGGTCAAGAATACTATGTAATATCGGAAACACAGCTGATATTGATACATTTTCTTCATAACTCAGAAAGGTCGTTGCAGTACTAAAGTTTTCCAAAACCTCCACTAATTCTTCGGCTAGTTTCCCCTGTTCAGATTTTAAATCCAAGTATCTATCACTGGGTTTTGTTACTTGACTATCCGACAGAACATCAGTTACAGGCCACCGGAGTTTTAACAGACGATCTAACATTTCATATGTTGAGTTCCATCGAGTGACAACTGTTGATTAATTTTTTACCAGACATGTTCACGTCGACTTGTTTCTGTTTTAGAGCTTGTGATGCCACTACACTGTGGTGAAAGTGTGTAACAATCTTCTTCCCAGCAGCCTGTCAATATAATTGATTTTAAACCCTGCTAGTATACAGAGTTGAAGGCAGTGAGCAGTACAATGTAAGTTTTGCCAATTTAGTTCTTTGTGCAAAATTTCCATGGCAGCCTTCATGTTGGACCCCTGGTCATGGCTAACCATTCTAACAGTATCCATAATCTCCCATTCTTCCACCACTTTCTTCAGCTTTTCTGCAATGTTTATCCCCGTGTGCCATTCTGGGAAAGGTAAGGTTTCCAGTACAAAGGCCTATAGCACCTAGCTGTTATCAATGTAATGCGCTGTTACGGTGATGTAACTTTCTGTCACGATGCTCATCCATATATCCGTGGTTAACGATATAAACACTTCTTCTTTATTTAGCCTTTCTTTCAGACGTTGTTTGCACGTTGCATGTTTAAGGTTGATATCAGCGGTAAATTGTTTTCTGCTTGGTAAGACATATCCCGGCTCCAAGTACTTCATTAAGTTACGAAAACCATCGCATTCAACAGTTCGATTGGGGCGTAGGTCTTGAACAATCATTTGAGTCACTTTGTCTATTATATTCTTTGAACATGTATCATTGCACTTCGCAGGCCTTACAAATCCATCAAGGGTGGGCGTCTTCCTGCTCTCTGTTGTGGTTGTCTTGATGTCCGGACAGTAAAGAGTTGAGTGCTTCAACACGAGGTGATTCCATAGGTTTGTAGTCCTGCCTAAATAGGCAAATTCTTTTTTACCAATATTGCACATGGCTTTCCTACGGTCGTGAAGTTTCTTATAAAAACTCCATACATCCGAAACCTTTTTACAACTACTTCCAACCGCACCCTTACCTGACACCATTTTTTCTAATCAAAAATTGTATGCATAGCACATGCGTATAAAACTATAAATAAATGTGCGAACATTCGAATGGGCACTGGCAGATCCGAAGACTCTGTCAGCTTCGAAATATTCGAATACTTCGTCTAAGCTCTAATGGCCAGTTAGCCTGGTCCAGCATCCACCATGGCACTTGGGGTTGGGTGGCATCGACCATGGCCAACCTCCCTCATAATGATAGGAAAATGATCACTGCCCCGTGGGTCACAGTTGACCATCCAAGAAAAGCGAGTGAAAAATGAAGGGGAGCAAATCGAAAGATCAATGGCAGTAAAAAAAAGACTAGGTGCATGAAAATAAGTATATATATACCAGTATTGAAGAGAGAAAGGTTGTGATCCGAGAGCATACGCTTTATGGAACGACCCCTCCCATCAATATCAGCACTACCCCACAGGGGGTTGTGTCCATTAAAATCTCCCAGAAGTAAAAAGGGAGATGGCAACTGGTCAATGAGAGCATCAAGGTCTGATTGATCATAAGTCTCCCCAGGAGACAGGTAGAGAGAACAAACAGTGATGGTACAACCCAAGGAAACACGGATGGCTATGGCCTCCAAGGGTGTATCGAGAGACACAAATAAGGAGGGCACATGCTGGTCGACAAGCAGTGCCACCCCTCCTTGCAACCACCCATCACACAACCTGTCATTCCAGTACAGAGAAAACTGCCGAAAGGTGACAGCAGGTTTCAGGAATGTTTCCTGCAAGGATAGACACACGGGATGATAAGAGTCAATCAAGGCCTTAATGTCATCGAGATTAAAATGAAAACCTCGACAGTTCCACTGTATCAAAGTGGCCATTGTTATGTATATTTAGGAGAACAGGGTGGGGAACCCTTCGGTTTATGACCACGCCGTTTTTCTTTACTAGAGGGAGGTCAATCGACCTCCATGGGTCCTGCCCTCGATCGAGTGGGCAGATCTCTGTCATCAGTGTGAGAATCCAATGACTGAGGACGTGATCGAATGATTGTCTTGCTTTTAGGGGCCAAAGAAGGACCCACTCCGACACCGGAGGCTGGTGCCCGAGGAGGTTGACCCAGGCAGTCACTGCAAGGAATAGTGGGGACAGAGATCGGAGTCGACGTAGACCTATCAACGCTATTAACCATGGAGGACAGAAGACCTCTCACATGGTGTGAAAAAAGACACAGATGGAGGCATGGAAAGGTCCATCTGCACTCCCACTGTAGCAGTGGAGCGTAGTGCAGTGGCATATGTCCAAGATGGAGTAGGGAACAATAGCTTCTGAGCCTCTGGATAGGAATTGTTGTGAACAGTCTTCAAACACTGTACCTCTTTCTCCTCCACCCACTTAAGACAAGACCTAAAATAAGAGGGGTGGGAACCACTACAATTAACACAGTGCAGATCCAGTTTACATTCATAGGCACCGTGGCCCTTGCCACCACAATGAGCACATGTCATAGAACCACAACAAGATGTCATTGAATGACCAAACCGCTGGCACTGAAAACATCGAAAAGGGTTGGGAATATAGGGCCGTACCTTACAGTTCAAATAATTTGCCTTAACAGAGGCCAGTTGACGTGGTGATGAAAATGTCAAAATAAGAACTGATGTCAGCATCATAATACCATCCTGACGAATGGAGATCTGTTAAACAGCTGAAACTCCTTGGCTGGAGAGACCAGCAAGGATCTCTGACTCAGGGATAGACTTCAAATCCCTCTCAACAATAACTCCTCGTGATGAATTCAAGGAAGCATGGGGAGTAACCTCAATGGGTATATCCCCAATGGCCCTTGAATTCAAGAGGAGTTCACTGTGCTTAGCTGTGAATGTTTCGACCAAGATGTCTCCTGAACGGAGTTTCTTCACTGACTTTGGAGAACCAGCAACCCCCTCTAAGCCCTTCTGAATAAAAAAAGGGGGACATTTGTCCTAAAGACTTATCAGATAGTGAATGTAAGATCAGAAAGTGAGGTACAGGGCCACCTTGTGGTGGAGACTGCTGTGCAGTCTTCTTGACATGGTCATTTACCAATAAGCAGAGTTTTACTATTTTTTCATTTGGATTGGGGGGATCCATAATTAAGAAAAAGGATTCAGTGCTCACTGACCCCACCCGCCATGGAGTCCTACAAGGGGATGCACTATAATGTCAAACAAGGACACTGCAGCAACGTCAGGGTTTCGTGAGCACGTGAGAACGCCCAACACTGGTACTCAGTTGACCCTAGCCCAAGTGGACCAGCCGGTTGACC